TCGGGCCCCTGGTTGAAGAAGCCGCCGTGGATTGGCTGGACTGGGCCACCTGTCTACTCAGAAGGCAGGCCTCCGCCGTGCTCAGATTGCGTCAAGACACTAGCCGTCGCCTGCTGCGACTCCGAAAACGTGGTTAGCTGCTGCACGAAGATTGGCGGGCGAACTGCGGTGGAGATGCAAGTATGGAGTCGGTAGCTTTTGGTTTGGGGATGGGAGGACGGGCGGCGGGGACTGGGTTGAAAACTCAGGGCCGTGGCTCGTTGCGGGAAACTGGGCTTGGTTGAATATTAGTTGAGATGGCTTGTAATCTTTCAGGAATGCAGCGTGGTACAGGTTGGCGACGAAACACACGTGAGCTGTTGCTGCTAAGTGTTAGCGTTAGCGGCTCGCCTACGCGGTACAACGCTTAGTTCACCAGCGTTCGCGTTTGGTTTCAGCTAGGCATTCACGCTGGGCTGCTGAAAGGAAGGACACCGTAAAATGAATGATGCGACCATGAAAAACAGAGGGTGGCTGGTGGGGGGGGGTTTCTGCTAGCATGCTAGCATGCTTCCCGGCGTGTTACTGTTTGACGTTATTTGTCTCGCAGTGATGTCTGTCTTTAGCCAGCCGGTGGGTTTGTGGAGCTGTGCACCTGTCAAAATGTCCAGTTGCCATGATTGAATACCGACAGCCCAGTCTGTACAGGAGCTAGCCAGACGATTAGCGCAGGCTACATTGGTAATGTTCAAGTGAGGCTGGAGAAATAGCAACGTTACTGACTTAATAATAGCTGTATTATTTGTGCACAGCGCGTCCTTTTGAAGCGCAGTGCACAGCTCCGTTATTGTGGAAATGTAATCTAGACACAAAGCGGTTGTGCCACTGATGTCCAACCCAACAATGTCAGACAAAGCTGAAGCATGCTAGACGGCTTCACCCCACAGCCAGGTTCACATACTCTTATGTTGCTGATAATTAATTAAACCTCCTCATACAGGCTGTATGGTCGCTCATATGAGGCCCGTCCTGAGATAATCGATACCACTTATAGTGTTGTGTACGTTATATATTAAATGTACAAGCTCTGTGCAGCTACTCGAAAAAAATAGACCTTTGCGAGATTAAACGTGAAATGATCATTTAACTACGATGGCTGACTACACTTTCATTCAGTGTATTCAGAGAGTCTGTGTTTGTTGATGTTTGACTTCCGCTTAAAGGTCGGATGTCACTGCTGGACAAACGAGTTCACCGTAAACCATCAACAGTCGATGCAGTTAAATGACATTTCACTGTGAATCCTCGGGAAGTGATTTATAAGCATGCTGCCCATCAGTAATGGGACTTGGTTAATTTTACATTTAAGGTGTTTTCCACCTCATGGCACTGTAAACAGCTTTTGGTATTCATGTAAACATCGCACTAGAAAAAATATAATTTTTGGTGATTCCTCTTAAACATACTGCTTTTAAATCCTCAAACTAAACACAGTTAATGTGCCTTACATGGCTCTGTCTAATACAATGAAATTCAGTGGTATCATACATTTTAACTGCTGTTTCATATTCGGGATTGTAGTTTGTTTATGAACATGCTGATGAAAATGAGTAGGCCTCAATGCAGGCGGTCAGAGCGAGGAGCAGTGTAAGTTCTTACTATATCTGGCTAATTACGAGGCAGGTTCAGGCCTCTGTAGGATTAAAGTGACTAAAGACAGAAGCACTGCTGTGTCATATTAAAATGCTGCATATTTAAGCTAATTGTAATTAATTGTGTGGAGTTTTTTTCCTCACAGCAAGTGATGGCTTAGAAAATCAACAATTTAGGAAAGAACAAAACATTCAAAGTTGTGAAACCCAACAGCATTAGCACTGTGTAGTAAATGGCTTTGCATTTAAATCCAGTATCAGTATGTTTTGGATTGGGACTTGATCTCTAAATGGAATTGTCACTCAAATGTTCCCTGTTTGCAGACTTGATTGTCTCTGTATTTCTCATATCTTTGTTGTTCTGTCCTCTAGAACATGGTCAAAAGTTTCCGGGTCTCAGACCTGCAGACGCTGCTGGCTTCAATGGGTCGCAGCAAAAGTGGGCTGAAACAGGACCTGGTGGGGCGTGCGTTGAGGCTAGTGCAGACCGAATACAGCCCGGAGCTTCTGAAGAACGTCAGACAGCTCTACGAGTCGCGCTTCCCCAAAACATCCGGCTGGCTCGCGGCACGGCGTCCAGAGGGCATCCCAGTTGCCTACTCATCCCTCAGCTCCTCCCCCACTGCCACCTCTCAGGGCGCAGACTACCTCAACGGCATTTCCAAACCGATCCCCACACCTGCGGCAGAGGTGAAGCTGGTGCAGCTGCCCTTCTACCAAACTCTGGAGACACTGTTGCCGCCAACAGAGCTAAGTGAGTGTATATAGATTGATGTTTCTCTATCCTTCTATTTAAATCACTTGTTATGTAGAAATGTTATGAGTTTTAAATAATTCAACCATATACTGTGTTGTTCTCTACACATATTTATAGTTGCCCAGAACAATGAGAAACTGCAGGACAGTCAATGCATATTTGAGTTAACACCAAACCAAGCAGACCAGGTCAGAAATGCAAGGTAAGAGAATAAAAATTTGCTTCAGATGTGCACTGTTAACATACGCCTAATTTACAAACTCTATAATTAAAGCTTATTTGAATTTGTGACCTTTTACTTTCTCAGTGAGCTTCGTCCAGGAATCAGATCAATCCAAGTGGTTCTTAGGTAAGTTCTCACTAATTCCTGTTGAAACTTAATAGATATTTCACAATCCTTTCCCCTGGAATGTGCTGGGGACTGTGCTGTTAATCAGAATTTCTCTCACGGATGCACAAGGAACAAATGGAAAATGGTTTTACCATGCACATGTAAATAGTATTTTAATTTCCCCCATAATCTTTTGTTTGTTAATCATGTGAACAGTCAGGTTCTAACGTACTCAAAGACTTAACAGATACACATTCAGTGATGCCAGTGGGCTGCACAGTCAGACATTCTTCTGATGTTAATTGTTCTTGTATCACTCTGTTGCAGAATCTGCTACACAGACTCCATTGGTGTTCAGGAGGACCAGTATCCTCCCAACATTGCTGTCAAAGTCAACCAGTCCTATTGTCATGTGCCGGTGAGTTGGTTAACTTCGGAGACCAGCCACACCTTCAGAATATAAACGTTACTAAAGCTGTGCTGCTCGTCTATTCTCGTCCAAGAATGTCCTCGGTCATTACTGTAAGGCCTTTGTTTTTAAATACAGTCAATGAGTCACTGGTTTGGGAGTCAGAGACTCACTGCCTGTTTATGGCCAAACTAGTGTTGTAATGTATGCTGTAGTGAGGGATTAGCCAACCTAATGCAGGTGGATGTTAAACAGGACGAGAATAAATAAACTCCAGGTACAGATGTAGTGTTTGTTATTCAGCTTGGAGGCATCAACTCATTGGCAAGACTTCAGGAGGAAACTCTCCAGCTGGCAGTCTCTATGTTGCTTACAAACTGTTGTGGGTTCATGTGTACATGTGCTGGTTGAAAGCTTATATATCAAGGATGAGCACTTGCTGTAGGGATGCACAATATGGATTTTCTTTCAGCCGATACAGTTACTGCTTCTCATGGCCGATAACAATAAGATAACTGATCATTTCACATTTTTGCATTTTAAAAGGGATTTTTAACATCTGAGAGTAAGAAAGGCTAATATATAGTGAGCAAAGATGGATGATTTCAACATGAACATCACAACAAACAACAGTTCTGACTCTTCAAATGTTCATTTGTTTATTTTTCTTGTAGAGTACATCTAAAAACGTACTTTATGTTCTATGAAAACAAATCCAACTTTTTTGGAAGAATTCTAAATAAATTATTATAAACCATTAATTTAGATTTCACAAGGGCTGTAGTCAGAAAGACCAGACTTTTCTGTTCAGACACATTAAATGTGTTACGTAATAACAGTAGCATATAGTTAAGTATTAATATTAGGGGCTTCTTGGTTGATGATTTTTATTCTTTAT